CCCTACACCACCGCTTCCAAATCCTCCGTCGACAGATCCTACGGCTACAAAGCCCCAGAGGCACGTCTCCCCGGAACCAGACCGACTCAGAAATGGGACGTGTACTCGTTCGGGGTGGTGTTGTTGGAGCTCTTGACGGGGAAGTCGCCGGAATCTTCGCCGCCGACGAGTTCATCGACGGTGGAAGTGCCAGATTTGGTGAAGTGGGTGAGGAAAGGGTTCGAGGAGGAGACGCCATTGTCGGACATGGTGGATCCGATGTTGCTCCAAGAAGTCCACGCCAAGAAACAAGTCCTCGCCGTCTTCCACGTGGCATTGGCTTGTACGGAAGGCGACCCCGAAATACGGCCAAGGATGAAGAATGTCTCCGACAACCTCGACAAAATCGGCAATTAACCCACGACAATATTACTTTCCCCCCCATAAATACACTGAATACACAAAATGATCATCGTCCAGTGGCATACATACATGATCGATTCTATTAATTAATCATCCGAAAAAAAATTCGTAATCGAGGTTTGGGTTTGTCTTGTTGTCTGAATCTCGTTTTGGGTATTGGCTCGGCTGTTCGAAGAATTCCAAGTGGGGTTGGTTCATGTTCATGTCGGGGTGGAACGGAAAACAAGATGGATAAAAATTCTTTGTTGTACTTTTTTTTGGGTTTTAAGCTTTATTTCATTATTTGATATATTCACTAAATTCTGTCTCGTCTTTGAGTTGTTTTGATTAAGATTATATTTGATAATAAAAAAAAACCGTCTTTAGTCACATGTACCTTAGTGGACGAAAACGAACAAGGAAATATATACATGTGGATTTTTTTTGTCACTTGTGAATAGAATATTTAGGTAGAGAAACAGAGCTCGTTCTGTCCATTTGGTCCAAAGCCTTGATTTGAAAAAACCCCCAAAAAAAAAGAAAGAAAAGAAAGGAGACGTTGCCGATAGAGAGGATCCAATCCTGCCTCGATTGAGCCATGTTTGTTTTGTTGGCATCTTCTTCTTCTTCTTCTCCTTGTTATGTTTTAAAAGCCGAACATCTTTTTTATTGGTCTTCGGACATTTCTGTATCCTCGGCCATAATTATCTCCATATCCCTCATATCGCGCTTCAACACATTCCCGAGCCTCGCTATCGCATCTGTCTGCTGTTGCAACACCTGTTTATAACGAGTACATACAGTCAGCGTCTGACGTAGTTTCCCTGAACCCCAAATGCTCAGTAAAGAGGCATATATATATATAAGGGCCTGCAGTGGGATATAGACTTGGATATTTTTTAAGTGGCATTTACCTCCTGCATGTCGATAAGGCTCTGTTCGTCTATTTTGGTTGATCCCGGGAGATGTATGGAACTACCCGCGGCTATCGAGTTGGCTTGTGCACGAGTTATTGTCAGCAGATTTTGCATCCTTCTAGAGAGCTCTGCTCCAGGTCCTTTCAGCTGAAACCCAACAACCTTTTTTTCAGTATCTCCCTCGCAACTTTGTCAAAAGCCCCAGAGGGGAATCAAGGAAAAAGACAACCACTTGTACCTGTCTGGTTACTGTTGCCAGCTTTTGAGCCAGTTCGGCCTCTCCTTTCATCAAGGGTAAACGGAAACCTTTCCCCTCTAGACCCTCCACTATCCTCATCACCTTCAGACACGCCACATTGCGAAACGAGTCAAATTCGTCATCCAGAGAGCTAACGACAAGAGGTGAGAAATTTCGAAACTCACCCTCAACAAGCGTCTTTGAAGACTTTGCTCTTTCTGTCTTAACCTCTCGATACATGGAAAGGTCTGTGCTTGCAAATGTCTCTGAAGCTGAAGCAAGTAACGAGCGGTTCCTTGTTTAGATGTGATAGTCCAGTCAAATTAAGGAGTTAAGAAACTAATAACTTACCATTTTAACATTGCTTTGAGTTGTTTTTAATCTTTCGGTGTCTGAGAGGAGGACCTCATCTTGAACCTGCGTGAAAGAAACATAAAGAGTGTCAGAGGTTCAATCATCGGAGCAAAGTCATATGTCATGGTTAAGATACAAGAATATCATTTTCTCAGCATAGTAATAACGAGATATGATCGATCATTCAAAGAAGAATTTGCTAAAGCATCCTAAGGACACAACTTTCAGACATGGACGACGCAAACAGACAAATAACCGAGCAAAAAAGTATTGCAAGAATGCAACTGATGGAACCGACCTTAAGACGCTGAGAAAGGTCCTTGAAACCTTGTACAAGCTGAGGCCAGAGACGCTCTCTATCTGCTGAATCCATGCCTTCGAGTTTGCTCATAGCCTCTGCCCACATTATCTACAACCAAGACAACAATCCTTTAGAGGGACCACAGAACACTGGTTACGGAACCAGAGATCAACAAGCTCACTACAGACAGGAAGCAACACATCTCGGAAAGACAAGAGAAACATTGAGAGGATCTCACATCTGAGACAGTTGCAGGCTTCACTCGGTACTGCGATTCAGTCACACTGAACAGAAGGTGCTGTAAACAAAAGGAGAAAAGGGTCATACAATGCCATTTCTGAATTGTCTGAAAATGAAACCAGATGAGAAACATAACAATGTCGAATCTCGAGACTGCATAAATTATCAGATGATCCACAAGCAAAACCAGAACTAACCTTAAAAGCGTACTTCGGATTCGTCGGTTCCTCGTTATACGCATCAATGATGGCCTAAAACCAAGTAACGGAACAGACAAAGCCAGTAAGAGGAACTACGAGTCAATCAACTATGGAGAAGTTAGGGTTAGGGCTTTAGATCTGGAATTGCGAGGTATTCGAGAATCGACGCCAAATCCAGAGAGAGAGAGAGAGAGGGATCGAACCTGAATGTCGCGGTCGGCAAGAGAGTAAGGGAGAGGAGCCACGGGAGCCATCTGAGTAGTCAATTGCGCATTAGGGAACGGCGTTGGCTGCTGCGCAGATGCGAATGGAGTCTGAAAGCCGAAGCCGGTGGGCGCCGGTTGCTGGAACAACGGAGTCTGCTGCTGCTGCTGCTGTTGCTGTTGCTGCGTTTGCGATGAGAATGGGGTAGAGAAGAGAGAGGAGCCAAATCCGCTGCTGGAGAAGCCCGGTGTAGACGCCGCCCCGAATGCCAGCGTCGACGACGGTGTACCAAACGCTGGAGCCGAAGAAGGCGTACCAAACGCCGGCGTAGAGGATGCGCCGAACGGCGGCGTAGAGGACGCGCCGAACGGCGGCGTAGAGGACGGAATGCC